ATGTCTTATACATATCATATTTGGAGATTAATTGGTCTGCATGTTCTCCTGCAAGTAATTTTGCAGAAGGCCAATGCTAGTAATTGGGCTGTAGATACCTTGCTTTCTGGTCTCTTCTCTAGCTGCATTTCAGTCGCGTATTCAGGCTCTGCATTAGAATCCTCGCTGTCTGGCCTTTGTAGCATGGCTTGAGCTGATGTAAGTCTCTCTGTCCTGGAAAATGAGTGGTGCAATTTGAACGTGACAGTATCTAAGTTATTCATGTGCATGGAAAGTGAAGAAGGAATGTTTTTTTTTTTTTATTTACAGTATTAAAAAAAGAAAGAACCTAATAAGATCAACAGATTTCAGGTTTAAAATTACCAAATGGGATATGTGTTTTATATAATTCATAGTTCCATTCTGAAATTCTGTCATAGTATATTTTGGAGACCAAAAGCATAGATAGCCTGAGAAAAGAGAAGTTTTGGATGACTTTCTATTTTCTTTCTTTATTTTGTTCTTTTCCCCTTTTCCCCTCAAAGCAATGGAGTGATCTAGGAGTAGTGTCTTGCTGAAGAAGTCTTTCAGCTGGCAAACGTTAGAGGTTCAGAAGCAGTATCAAGGTAAAGGGGCACTTTGCACCCTGGTTTGTAGTCTTCTGTCTGAAGGCATGCTACTGTGTGTGGTTGGAGATGGTCTATAAGAGGGGTCTTTGGATCTGAACCTGGGACTTTGTTAGTTCTTACAAAATAAGTAGCAATATCTCTGATGCTGAGTGTACAAAGCCACTTCAGTTATCTTGGAAGCTTGAGGTGTTGAAGAAGAAGAATGCTGGCTCTGGAAGTATCTAGCAGGTAAGAAGAAGATTTTAGGGCTGCAGTGTGTGATTTCAGCATGTAAACTCTGCACAAATCCTAGTTTCCTGGTTTAGATCCTTCAGGTTTCGGGGGGAAGTGAGGGAAAGGGGAGTTGAACTCGCTGAAGAAACACTTTCTTAAGGTCCAGCAGTTTGTAGAATAGCCTGGTTGATCATCTTCCCACCTATGAGCAAAGAACAGACATAAACAAACATATAAATATGTGCAGGATGTAGCAAATGAGGTTCTACCCTTACTGTGATGAATTCCTTAAATGTTTTTAAAATGATGATAAATAGTTCTGATAAAGTGAACCTTCTTTTCAAGGGAATAAACCCAGTATCAGAATATGTAAAAAGTAGACACGTAGCCGGATGTTCTCATATGGTCAATTAAAATTTATCAAAATTGCTTCCTTTGCTGAAAGCTGTTATGAAACACGATCTTTGGAGACTGTGCAGTTCTCTGACCGCTGTCAGTTCAATTGAGAACAGCAGTTAGTCGGCATCTTCCAGGCCTGTACCCTGGGCTGGCTTTAAATTGAGTGGGAGGTGTGAAGTGTAGCAGGCAGGAACGGATTGGGATGGAGGGTGATTCAAGGGTTGACTTTTGCTGTTTGCGCTGAAGTAGAAGCTTCATCTGGGGTATCAGTAGGGCTACTGCAAGGCAGCAAGCTAACAACAGAATACAGTGAAATAAAAGGCTCGTAAAGAGAATTAAGCCTTATTCCAAATGCTTGTCTGTGAAATGCTATGTATTGAATACATTAAAGTTCCTTCATTAAAGAGCTTCACCAAATGGAGGGATTACTTTTTGCATGCAAGCTGTGTGTTAAATGACTTATTTTGAGGTGAAGCATGGGACAGAGGAACAAAGTATTAAGCCTTTGTGTGTGATGGAAGTATCTGAGTGCGTGTGGTTTCTTTCGGTGTCTCGGTCCATCAGTGAGCTCTGGGATCCTGTGAAGGTCTTTTCTGTGTTGAAATAGCGTGCTTATGCACAGGATCTTGTCCAGGCGGGTCTTGAATATCTCCAGAGAAGGAGACTCCACAACCTCCCTGGGCAGCCTGTTCCAGTGCTCCGTCACCCTCAGAGAGAAGAAGTTCCTCCTCATGTTCAGACGGAACTTCCTGTGCCTCAGTTTGTGCCCATTACCCCTTGTCCTGTCACTGGGCACCACTGAAAAGAGCTTGGCCCCATCCTCCTGACACCCACCCTTCAGATATTTGTAGGCAAATTTGTATCTGAGTGCGTGTGGTTTCTTTCGGTGTCTCGGTCCATCAGTGAGCTCTGGGATCCTGTGAAGGTCTTTTCTGTGTTGAAATAGCGTGCTTAGAAGACTAAAACGAAGGTAAGAGAAGGCGATGTCCTTGAGTCTGATGGCTTACAAATAGCAAAGTCCTTCTGTGTCTGCTTCTTGGCTGGAAAATGCTAGAAAATATGATGGGAAAGGGTCTCAGGAGAACACATTTGATCTTGCTGGCCTCAGCCTTAAAAGCTGTACCCGAGCTATTCCTGAGAGCTGTTTGCCTGACCTGAAAACCAACTCTGGGGGAGATTTCCTGGCTGTCGCAAGCAGCTGGTTTTCGTGCTTTACTATCTCTAATGTTTTTCCTTATCTCCTTTGCTGCAACTCAGGTTTGTTACTGAGGTCTTAAGTTCTGAGGAGAGGTGAAAAGCGTTGTATTACTGCTTTCCTTGCAGCTTCCTGGTATGTCATAGTACTGGAAATTACTCCCATCAATCTTTATCTTCACTAGATTGAGGAACCCTGCTTATTGCCTTCTTTTTCACGTGTCCTATTTGCTAGGCGTCTTATCATTTCTGTTACTTGTGCCTGATCCAGATCTCTCTTGAACTGCGGTAGTCAAAGCTGAACTGAGGTGAGCCTTATCTGCGTGTTCCCTGCTCTGCAACTGGAACCGAGGTGCCCTGGTCTCTCCACGCACTGAAGACGTTGGCCAGGTCAGGCTCGGGGGTCTCCTTTCCAGGAGAGGAGCCGAAAAGCTGAGTGCTGCAGTGTTCAGCTCGGTGGTGGTGGGCTCTCTTGAGACGTAACCACTAACAGCAGTGCTGGAGGGGGACACAATCACTTAGTGCTGAGAGATGATGAGAAGATATGGCCAGCAATAGTACTTATAAAATGCCAGTGAAACAAATTATTTAGAAACGTCTGTTAGTAGAAACTAATTGAATTCTGTGTAGACTGGAATATAGAAGGCAGGATGCAGCCAAGAATTAATGACAGAGAGAGTGAATTGGCATGTGGATTCCCCTCATCTGTTTTCCTTCCCAAAATAGCCTGTTTCTAGGGCCAGGGTGGGTAGGAGTAGAATGATGAAACAATTAGACCTACAAACACAGTGTGAGCATAATTACGTTGAAGAACGATGACAGCATTATTGAATGGCTGTAGAGGGTTGGCACAACTCCTGCTCGGGTAGCAGAGGAGGCCCCATGGTGAATGGTTTGAGTAAGAAGAGGTGGTTCCATGTGTGTTGGTGTTCAGTGGTCATCGGTCACAATCCAACCCTGGCTTTGGTGTTTGTAACCGTGGTATTTTTGATGGCTGTGTTTGAAATTCCACGCGAAATGCGAATGCTGATAAATTTTTTTTCTGGTCAAAGCATGAGCTTGGAAGTCTCATTGGGGCCCAAATTCCAGTTTCCTTGTGGCAATAGGGGGAGGATGAATCTGTTCAGCTGTGGTCCCTGTGAAACACACCGCAGATGGGGTTCACCTCCACTGCTGAAAAGGTGTTTCTGCTTTGCAGGACGAATATGCAAATGTGTTCATGTGGTTACTGGGGCAAGGCCTGGACCCTGCGGTAACTTGGGTGATGATCATTTCAGCTAGAGCCTTCTGGCAGCGTTTTGCACCCTAATAACAACATCATCATGAGTTTATCTACCCTGGAATGGTTTGCTGGCCTAGGGAGAAGCTCTAGTCTCGTTAGTACATTCTGTGTCTTTATTCCACCCCAGCGGCACAGCAGCAGAAAGGAGATCAATACTAACGATAGGTTATTGTAAAAATGGATCATTTCACTAAAGCAGCAAATGTAAATAACCCTTCTTAAAACCCCTTTGAGGCTAAGGAAAGAAAATAAGCAGTAAAAAGCGTGCACAGATGGATGTTGTTCTGATAGTAATGTTTTTTGTTGAAAGTGCTAGAAGGAAAGGAATGCTAATCACGCAAAATTGTAGGCAGCGAGGTCATGAGGAAAGTACTGAGCTATAGAGGTTTTCCATTTGTGGGCTAGCTCGAAACTCTCCGATTTGACTAATGTATCATCAAAGGTGTTCCAGCTTGGACCAGCTAGGCTTGTTATCTATCATATTGGGTGATTTTGCTGATATCCTGGCACTACAGAGAGAATATACATACCAGAAATAATAATTTGTAGTTGGAACTCTGTTCCTTTGTTTTCTACACAGGGAAAGAAAACAAAGTAAGAATTAACTTAGAGAGAGAAGTGTTTACTCTAAGAAATTTATAGAGTTATGGTAGAGTAAAAGCGCTCTCTTAAGGGTCACTGTTACTTTTACTTGAAGTTGAAAGTAAATCTTTTTGTTGGATGATAAAGTAAGCATGGTTCAGGAGAGTCTGG